TAGACGGCTAGCAGATATTGTAAATAACATGTCGAAAAACCACTCTGACGTTTCTTTTATCTATTTGCGTTTGTCAAGCAGCGCTTGTCGACGATTTTTCTCCACTAAAATGCTAATCCGTCAAAATCGGGTTTGACATGAAATGTGCACGCTCTCTCTCAAAGTTTAATGCTTCCCTCGGTACATTGATGAACGAGACACCTGCCTCACTCGAGTACCGGAAGAGACTTCCGTGACGAGTTTTCGGTGGAAAAATCCGCGCTGTACCGAAAGCCAATCTCTCGTTTTAGCAACGACCGCGATTGTCGTCATTTGAAGAGCGGCTAACACCAGACGTGATTTCACGTAATAGCTATGAAGCCAAGAGAGAGCTCTCCCCAACATCGAGATATCGCAGTTACAACGATATCGCCCGAGAAGAAATTAACTCGTTTTACGCGGCTACGAAGGCTTTTTTCTTCCTCGTCCTTGTGCGGTTCCCTCCCTGTTTCCTTCGACCGCAAATCTCCCGTTTCGGAAAAGAGCTCCTTTATCGTCCGCCGACTTTCAGGAAGAGGAATCCCAAGTCGACGTCGGCGACGCCTGCGTCTCTTTGCAGCAAACGAGCTACGGACAAATAATAATGCTCGGATGTAACTTCGCGAGCAGCTGCCGTGATCACAATCTCTTCGGGTCGAACCGTGCGATTATTCGTTTACTATGTCACGGAAAATTCTATTAACTGTAGGAGCAGTCGACCGCGAGGCCAAATGTGAAACTTGAAAATGAACTCGTTTAATAGCTATTATTATGTAAGACAGCATCATAAGAGAGACTACATTGTGAGACAAAATATCACGAAAGATGAAAAGACATCAGGTGGTCAATTTTAATTTTTATTCATATCTTGATTATTTTTCCTATTTTGCTTTGTCTTATAGTAAGGTAAATAGCCAAAGGAATGGAGCAAGTATAGATGTAATAAAACTTTTAGTACCTGGAAAAACCTGGAATTTTCAGAGAATTTTTTTTATCTTTAAAAATCAGGGATGAAAGATTATCGGACTTGAAGAATTTTTGGAATTTTAAATTTAAATTCTGTCTTTCTGAAAACATTAGTTTTTGATCTTTTTTTTGATAATGCAAAATGTTTACAATCAGTTAGCAATAAGTATGGCATACACATTTGCGTATATTCACGTACATTTTCGCCACGCAAATTTTTCTTAAAAAATCAAAATGACAGTAGAAAATAATAGAATAGTTTACTGATACTATTTTGTAGTGAGCCTTTTCCCTAAACTATCCTATAAATTTCGTTCTAATTGTAGAAAATGATATAGCCTCGCATTCTACTAATCCCTGTGTTCCATCAATTTCCACTATATTTTTTATTTGAAAGTTTCATGCACTCCAATTTATTTCAAAATTGTATTGAAAGATTCACTAATCTTACCTATAATTTTAAACAAAAATACCTGGAAAATTTAAGATTTGCAGAGAATTTTTTAAAAGATTTCAGTAAAAAAATATTTAACTTGATCTTATTCAAACAATTTTAACGATCCGAAATTTTATCAATAACAATATTTTTTCACTTGAAGCGAAAAAATTATATTTCTTTTTTTAGAATAATGAACCACAACATGGCTCTATCTTTTACTTTTTTGACTCTCAAAGATTTATTCGATTTTATTTTTACATCATATAAATATTTATTTATTATATTATCTATGTGCTACTTAATGTAGCCTCTTGATAACCTTTTTCTATTTTTGGATTTTATCTTCATGTTAATATATTCTTAATTATATTTATATCGTTAATTTATTTTTGCTCTAATATTACCCAAAATGATTCCGTGTGTTTCAAATACGTTCTTTTTATTTATTTATTTATAATAAACTAATTTTACTATATCTATACTTGTTCGTTTCTTTGGTCATTTACTTTACCATATCGCGTTACATAATCGAAAGCATATATAATATAATGTATATATATATATATAGTTTTTCTAATTTACTAATTTTTTAATGTAATAGTTTTGTTCCGAACTTATTAAAAATAATTACTTATTAAAAGTAAAATGTGTATCGATGTGAAATCGAATGTCTCTTCAAATTATTAGAGTGTAATTTGGTCATTTATCCCTCACTCGACCATTGTCAGGGTTCGCATAGAAGTACACATGAAAGAAGAAAAATAAAAGGAAGTAACGTTAGTTTGAGGGGAAACGAGGCTTGGAAATAGATGTGATGAAAAGGCGCATAACGGGGGTGAAATGCACGGATTTATCATCATCCCCTGGTGCTCGCCCATACGTTTATCTTCCACAGCAAATGGGAATGACGTCGATGTGCGAGGGGACGACTCAATCAACCAAAATGCCCCGAGGTTTCTGCCGCGTGGCGAGAAAGAAAGGAAAAGAGGAACAGAGCGAAATGAGGGGGCACGTCGCGGGGTGAAGAAAGGAGCAACGAGACATCTCGTCTCGCTCTCGAGACAGGAGAGAAAAAGAGCGAGACGTGTGTCTGACAGATGGAGGAGAAACACGGTGTCATGTGGCTTTTAGGAACTTCAGTTGCCTTGGAACTTCCGCTGTTTTTATTGTTCTCTTTATGCACGCCTCTATTTTTCCCCCCGGACGCGGCGCGTCACTCGTTCTTTTATTTTCGGTTCTCGATTCACGATCAGAGTCCTCGAAGAGGGAGCCAGCCCACAGATGCAAACGACGAGGCTCGTTTCGGCGATCTTCCACGGACGTTTTCATTCCGGAGATATCTATTTTTAAACGATACCCCATCGGGAGAGAATCACCTTCTAAAGAAAGAGTTAATCCCAGCGATGAAAATAAAGAATTCTTTCTTGTCTATGGACTCAGCTTCATCTCCGGCTACTATTACGCATTTAAAATACTTTTTCTCTCGAATTTAACGGTTTGAAAAGAGCGATCTCTCTTCAGTTTTTTTTTAATTTCATAATTAATACTTTCATTCATGTAAAGAACTGAACAACGTTCTAAGAACAATATTTAGAGGATGTTGGAGCGATGGTCGAATTTGATTGATGTCTATAAAACAATTTTTTTATTCCAAAGCAAAACATTACGTACATCAAGTAAAACATTAAATAAAACGTTACGTACATTTCTTGCTCTGCTGTATTCTATATATCGCGTAAATGCAAGATAATGTACATTCAGATTTACTTTTTTAATTTACTTCACTTGCAAGCTTCAAAATTATAATTTAAAAGTCTCATATGTGTTATATTCTTATACATTATTCAAATGTGGGAAACTACTTTTTGTTTGAATAGATACTTGGAATCATTTATATTTATATCATGTGAAAAAATACCCTACGTGGTAACAGGCAACTATAATTTATCATTTCTTTTTATTTTTCATACAAGTTTGTAGTTTGCGACAGCTATTTGTATTTTTTCTTTTATTTTGGAGGATTTTTTATTCTATACAAGAAAAACAAAAAAAATGGTAAAGTATAAAATGCGCATTTCATCGGTATTGCAGACGATTCTAGCATCCCCTTAACTGTTTCATTGTTTCAAAAGAGCGATCTCCCTTCTTCCTTTTTTTAGCTTTATGATTAATACTTTCACGATGCGAAGCAACATTCTACTTGGTATTCACAATGCTCCCGCATAAAAATATACTACTAGAGCAATAAGTAAATTCGAATAGTGTAATAGTGGTAGAGAAAATTTCATTAAAATTACACTGAAATTTTATTATGAAAATAAGTATTATTGATTAGCATCATATTTCAGAGGATACAATAAAAAGGATACAATAAAAAAAAGTTTCCTTTATGAATTCTAGAACTAATTTTATGCATAAAAGAAACTTTTTTTTATTATAATTTTGTCATGTATCCTCTGAAATATGATGTTAATCAATAATACTTATTTTCATAATAAAATTTCAGTGTAATTTTAATGAAATTTTCTCTACCACTATTACACTATTTGAATTTGCTTATTGCACTGTATTATATATATATTTTTATGCGGGCTCGAGTTTTATTTGTCCTTATCAAACAAGAATGAAATTCTGCGAGCGTCAAATGGAAACGCAACCCAAGAACAACGTTAAAACTATCCCTTTCGCTCACTTGAAGATCACATCGTTCGTTCCCTGAAGCTTTGACATTTGAATCTGGTGTGGCGCCCCGCAGTGCTGATTCGATTTACGCCGACTCTCCCTATTACGCGAACGCGAAAGTAATTTAGCCGCGCACTTTGTATGGAACACGGGAGTTCCGCTGCCGAGAACACCTGCAGCATCACCGTCGAGATCACCTGCGAAACGTCGCGTTTTCTTGCACGTGCACAGGCGAGATATTTTCAATTAGCAGCGCTGATCGCGCAAGAACGAAGAGCCGCGAGGAGGAAAGGAAGGAAACAGACGCGAGTTAACTCGTCGCAGATTGCCACGAAACTTATTACGCGATGAAACTGCTCGAGGGGCCCCCGGGGGTTAAAACCGCCGTATTTTAGGACCGGTTTTTCCTTCGCCGTAGCTTTATGCGTTGTTCCGTCAGCAAAACGATGTACACAGTTGTATTTCTTTATCCAACACGCGAGATTCTCGTCACTTTCTTTTTTCTTCATTTATTTCTCTTACTCGAAACTGAATCGCTCTGAGTGTTACGCTAAGTTGTGACATGCATAAGTTTCTGTTTAATCAGAAATTACTGGTAAATGGCCGCATTCAGCAGAACGTTCATTTTGCTGCCGTTGGAAATTTTCTTTGTTGAGGTAGGACTATTCCTCTAGATTCCTCTAGATCTAAACGCAAAATCCAATCAGAATTCAAAAATTCTCCAATCTTACTTGGAATTTTGAATAAAAATATTTGTAATTTTTAGGGATTTTTTTTACGAGATTTCAGTAAACACTTTGACAGGCCAAAATTATTAGTGTAAAAGACAGTTATGAGACTTGAAGGAATCGCTTCTATCGATCATTATGATCAAGATATCTTCTCTCTGTTGCAGGTGTACTAGTGGTAAATGTTACGTGGAGGGGTAAGACGTACGTTGGAACGTTGCTAGACTGCACGCGTCATGACTGGGCGCCACCACGTTTCTGTGACTCGCCAACCAGCGACTTGGATGCCCGCACTCCTAAGGGTCGTGGTAAGCGCGGTCGCGCCGCGGCCAACTCTACGCCCGGCAACGACCTGAGCAACTTCACGGAGACGAGGAGTTCCGTGCACAGTAAACTGCGCAACGGCGGCAAGGGTCGTCGGGGCGCACAGGGTTCACCTGCGGCTAGTCCGAGCCCAGCGGCATTCGTGCCGCCACGACCGGATCCGGCGGCGAAGCGAAAGTCGCGCGGACCCGAGGAGGAGCAGGACAAGAACAAGCGACGGGCACCGCCACCGACGCCACCCAGCGGTTCACCACCTGCTAGTCCAGTATTGCTCGAATGTCCCGAGCCGAACTGCAGTAAAAAGTACAAACACATTAACGGACTCAAATACCACCAGAGTCACGCGCATGGCTCCGCCGACGACGACGATACCAAGGAAGGTATTACCAGTATGTCGGAAAATGATGAGAGCAATATCGAAGCACCGAGCCCTGCCACGCCAGTGAAGTCACCGGCGGACAAGCCTGAGGGCACGCCGGTGAGAGCGGTGAGTCCACCGGCAGCGGGTCTGCCACCGGAAACGCCACCGCCACCTCCACGAGTCCCATCACCCAGCATAGAACCGCCTACGCCTGTGCTCGCGGACAAGAGTATCGTCAAGCCGGGCGTACTCAGGTTCGGCCAGGACGATCTTCCGGCACCCACTTCTACGGCGCCATCGAGGCAGCAGCAGCAATCTGTGCAGCAGCAACAGCAACAGCAGCAGCAGCAGCAGCAGCAGCAACAACAGAATCAGTCGTCTTTAGGCTCATCGAATCCGCCCCAAAGTCCCAGTCCTCATCCCAGTCAGTCCCCCAGGCCCGTGCCTTCGCCACATCCAAGTACGAATATCCCCCAGCCCCTCAACATCCCGCAACCACCGCAACCGTCTCAAATGCAACAATCGCATCAATCGCAGAATTCTCTTCTGCAACAACCGCAGCCATCGTTGCAGCAAGTCGGCCAACCGCCTCAACAGCAGCTACAACCTGGCGTCAACAATCAGCAGCAACAGCAGCAGCAGCAGCAGCAACAATTGCAGTCATCGGTTCAACAACAGCTGCCGCCAGCGCATCAATTGCAATCGGTGCAGCATCCTTTGTCAGCTCAGTTGGGTCAGCCCGTGCAGGCCCATGTGGTGCAGCCGTCTGGATTACAACAACAGGCCAGTCTACAAAGCATAGCCAGTCAGCACGCGAGTTTGCAGAATCTTGCAAGCCAAGTGTCGCAACAGGCAGCAGGTTTACAGACGGTACCGCCACCGCCAGGTCATCCAGGTCAGGGTGTGCAATCGCATTTGCAACAGTACCCAACTGCGGTGTCGCTGCACGCTGCTGCGGCGAAGATGCCACAGTTCAAGGTGAAACCTACGGCTGCGCTGATGCCGGAGCAGGACAAGAGCAAGACAAGCGCGGATGCACGTGCTCCCAAACCGCAGGGCTACAAGAAAAAGTCGCGAAAATCACCTGGTGGCAGTCCGCACCCATCGCCTCTCGAGGCGCCGATCGTCGATTCGGCGCGCGATGATGTACAAAGCCCGGCCTACTCGGACATATCGGATGACGCAGCGCCAGTGCTCGAAGCCGAACCGGTGGACAAGTCCAAACAGAGTCAGGAAAAAGACAACAAGGCCACGGTGCCAGCGCATCTGCCTGCGCATTTCAGTATGTATCAGTACTATGGTCAGCCGCCTTACCTGGTGTCCAACGTTCCGGACAGCAAACCGGTGGTAGACCAGAAGCCGAGCGATCTTACGCCCAAGCAGGAGATAAAACCGCTCAACATACCGCAGATGCCTTCGATGGCGAGCTTGCAGAGCGTC